TTCAAAAATTAGTTCTTGGGTTAGCCCGGTTATCAGACAACCCAAGAGCGCCTTGTCGAAAACCTCGCCCCTAGGTTCAGCCCGGTTATCGGACAACCTAAAGGCGTTGTAACCACACCAATAAAAAATGCGAAAAATTGGAAAGTCGAAACCATCGCGTCGCTCCGACCGTCTCGTTCTGACGGCGGCGACAGTGACACATTGATTAAATTTAATATCCTAGATGCCTTGAAACATCCAGGTGAATATCATTTTGTGTTTAGGATTAATTTTATTGATGATTTAATTGTTGAATATGTCTCAAAACTTTTGAATTATGATATTGGAATTGTGTATGATGTGAAAAATTTTCAAAATTATGCTTAGTGTTCTTCAAGCACTAAGAGGAACCTGAATCCACTCAACAAAAATATGAAAGCAACATACTTAGTGCCAAGGCCCGATAGAAGCGCTAAACGGAAGCTAAATCAGCTCAGCGGATTTACTCTTGATGTGAGCGCTGAACGAGAGCTGAATTTGCTCAGCAAATTTTCTCTAGAACAAAAACCTCATCCTAATGATTCCGGTGAGCGGATTAGGGCCAGAGAACAAAAATATTCAAAAAATATTTTTGATTTTTTAGAAAATCCATAACCTAAAATTATTTATTATTTTGCTTTAGATTTAAACCCTTGCCTTCTAATTTAAAATATGTATTTTTTTTTGTGATAATGATTTTTTTCTTATTATTATTTCTAATTTGTTAAATATTGAGCAAGAAAATAAATTAATTTTTGTAATTAAGAAAAATAAAACGGTAATTGATTAGACTCATAATGATATTCCTAAAATTAGTCCTTTTGTATGTATGCATATATATAATTTTATTCTTTCATTTTTTTTAATTCTTTCATTTTTTTAATTCTTTCAATTTTTTATTCTTTCATTCTTTCATTTTTTTTCTTTTATTCTTTCATTTCTTTTTATAATTCTTTGATTCTTTTTAATTTAATTTTAAATCTTTTACTGTTTTGATTATATTTTTTTTAATCTAACATCAATCTTTTTAGATTTAGTTGTGCACAATGCAAGTTTTCAAATAAGAAATATTGAAATCCTATAAGCTTCTTCTAACTTCTCCTTCTCTCTTTTAATTATTGTTCATTTATCTTTACCGTTTCAATTTTTTATTTACTGCATTTTCCTATTTTTTCACATTTTTTGGACATTATTCATTTATTATTTTCTACTTGCTTAAATTTATTATATTTTTACATTATGGACAATGCAAAATTTAAGTGTGGAGTGATAACATGACTCCTATGTGCTATTTTTTAAAAAATTTATGAATTTTGTTAATAATTTGAGTTTTAATTGATAAGTTCATTATTTAGATTAACATCATTTTTAATATCTTGTATAATATCTTTATTTCTTTTATATAACTTTTGATCAAGTCTAATTAGAACTTAATTAGATAGAAATATAAGTCATGTGAGTTTTAAGCCTAATTATTCTTGATTAAGTATTCACTCGTGAATTTAAGATTCTAGAACTTGACTTATTTCTCTTATATAAACTTATCATATGCAGTTATTGAAATGATTTAGACAATTTCTTTCTTAATTAACCTTGAGCAAAATGAAACCTACCTTATAATAATTAACCTTGTGAGCTACTTTGAGCTTTATATTCCCATTTTGTTTGTTTAATTAAGCCACACTACAAACGAAGGAAAGTGAAAAACCATAATTACCTCCTATTTCTTTATTTTGAGACTGTAATTTGAATTTTGATTGAAAGACATTTTCAACAAAGTCTTCATTCTACCTTTTCAATCTTTGTTAATATGATTATAGAGAGCCTATTAGTTTTTATCACCAATAAGATAAACATATCCTTGATTTGTTCAATAGTTGTCACAATTGCATCATATTTGTAAAAAATATAAATTAGGATTTTCTTGACAATTTTTTTGTCAATAATATTTTTCCACATGTTATCATTTGAATGACTATCTATTTTATTCTAGTATAATAATTCTTAATGGTCCCATACTATTTCATATTAAATAACTCAAACTCATGTCTTACCGTTTGAAGTTTAGTAGAGTGTAGCTTTGCAATTTCTTGAAACCCTTCCTATAATGTGCTTTATGCCTCTTTGGCACTTGAGACATCCATTATCCTTTGAAAAAATGTATCAACTAAGATTTGTTGTAGGAAATATATAATGCCCTTGAGTCTTTTTATTTGTTCTCTTTCATTTGAGTCGTTGTTAATGTGGAAATGTTTGTGGGAATAATGAAATAATCTTCTACCATCTCCCACAGATCTTGAGAACAAAAATATGTCTTCATTTTAATACTCCAAAGTTATAACTTTGTCTTGTGAAGAGAGTACGAGAATAGATGAAGAAAGATTGACATTAGTCATTAGTTGGGATTTGTATGAAATATTGTAGGACTTTTTGAAGATAGTTGTGTGTTATATTTACGCCCAATGGATGATCAAATATAACTCTGGTATCACTATTAGTATTTTATGAAGATTAAGAAATGTTGGTTTGTTGTTAGCGAAGAGTTTAGAAATAAAGTATATTTGGAGAGCTTGGAAAGGAAAAATATGAAAGAATTTGTATTAATTTTGCACACATTACAAAAACAACATTATCTATTTATAAGCTTATCTACCACCAACAAGTTTGTGTATAATATTATAGATAATTCTATATTTATTATCTACATTTTAGTTTCAAATATTTCTAGAATGTTTTAATAATTTTTACATTTTACTTTTTTTTCTCTTTTTATTATATTGAAAATATACTTTTTAAAGATAAGAGATATGTGATATCGAGGAATTTCACATTATAATATTTTATTCATATATTTTATATAAAAAATAAAACTATAATAAAATATTAAATATTAATCATATTTTAATTTAACTTTTTAAATGAAAATAATAATCAATATTTTTTTATTTTCTCCTAATTAATATTTTAAAAAAAGTTAAACATAACAAAATTTATTAATAACTATTTTAAATAAAAGATAATAGAATAATAATTTTTATTTTATGTGACATTAGACCTACACACTACATTTGAAAATACTTAAAAGCAATGGCCCAAAATTATTATTTTTATTATTATAAAAAAATTATAATAATAAAAATTCGACAAGATCTGTCAATAACATCTTTCATTTTGAAATATATTAATTGTATTGAACTCTAGTGAACACTTAGAAAAAAACAAGAGGATGTTCATTTATAAACATAGCGTTATAGTTAAATCAGTATAAAAAAAATTGAATAGAGATAATAGAAATATTTTTTAACGAAAATCAAAATGCTTTATAAAAAATAGAATGATGTTTGTAAACTTCTTATAGGTAATACATTATACCTATTTTAATAATAATAATAATAATAATAATAATAATTTAAATATAATATTATATATAATTAAATATATTAATTAAATATTATTATTATATACATTTAAATGAATTAATTAATTAAAAAAATCATTTAATCATAATAAATATAATATATAAGAGTAGAAAAGAGCTCTTAGTATAATATAAATGCAAAACTAATAATCCAAGATCGAGTGATAGAAAGAAAAATATCAGAAGAGATTATCAAATGCATGTATGATATATACATGTTCTTGAGAGGTACGGGTAATAGTCCCTTCAAAATTTCCTAACTTATAATAACATTTATAATTTTTATTATTTTTTGAATTTTATAATTTATATTAATATTTATAATTTTGATCATCAAACTATTATTAAATATATTTATAAATTTAACTTTTTATATTTTTTTATATTTATTTATTATTTAAGGATAATATATATTATCTCCTTAAAATATATATATATATATATATATATATATATATATATATATATATATATATATATATATATATATATATATATCCTATTGCACGGTGGCATTATTCAGGTTCTTCTTTTGTCTTTACTTCATCAAAACAACAAAAAGAAGCACGTCTGCGTCTTCCTCCAATATTCTTCTTGTTCATATATTTTGCTTGTCTCCATGTTCTTAGTAAAATATAGATTTTCACGTTTATTTAATTTTTGAAAGTGTTTTCCTAATTTGTCCTTAATTATATTTATTGAGATTATGTTGGTAGGTTTATACTTAAACTCACAGAGTAATTCAATATAAATTTCCTTCCAACATCTTCAGAATCAAAATACGTGAAAGCTGATTGTTGGGTGAAGGGTGTAACCGAGATAGTAGACATCTATTTCAAAATTATAACCTCCAGTGGTTGATGAACAAGAACAATCATATCCGCTAATAAAAAAGTTGTGGATTAACTTTAAAACCTCCAGCGGTTGATGAACACAGTACCACCTTCAATAGTAAAATCTTTCAACTTTAAATTTGTGAGTTTTTATGATGCAATTCAACTTTTCCCTAACTCATTTTGAATTACAACGCTATGTTCTCATAAAACAAATTGATCATCTAACACCTGTAAATTTTAGTCCACCATGGATGTGAATGTAACCCAATCCGACTGGCCTTAATACAAATCTTCAAATGGTTTTTGTGAGACATCACAAGTCAATTACACACAGAATTCATTTGGTGAGGACCTAACTTACATTATAATCAAGGGCAACTCAATTTGATGAATCATCATATCATCTTGGGAAGCAAGATTCGCCCAAATAAATGCTCAAGTTCAGTCACCAACTCTATCATTGTAAAATATTGACGAGTTAGAAATTGTACTCCATCAAACTCCATTTCACACAATCAAACTTAAAAATGACCAGAGGTTTTAACTTTAAAATTGAAAACTAGAATTTGGAAACTCTTCAAACAAATAAAAGTAAACTTTTCAAAAACGATATAGTCAAAAAGACATAATGCAAGGTGTGAGAAACAGAATAAAATAACAATAAATTTCTTAACTAAAAACTACTACTCAACAGAAACAATGTTTAGTTCTCAAATAAGAGGAATAACTTACCAGCAGTCACACACTACAATTTTCTTTATAAATTTATAGAGGGCATTTTTCTGCTCACAGCAAGGCTCCATTTCAAAGTCATTTGATTCACCATAGATCAGATAGACAGCTGTTTTCTTGACCACCAATCCCTGACCAAAAGTCACAAAAATCTCCACCTTGTCCCCAGATCCTAAATTTGATATTATGCCCTCCCAATCCATATCAGTAATTATTGTGCCATGCTTGTGTATCTGGAATGTGAACTTTGTGTAGTTAACAATTAAGACACTTTTAAGACATTCAGTTGCCATGATGTCAGGGGTTGATGAATAAACAACACACAAAGCCATTCCCTTGACGTGACAGTCCTGAGGCACAGTGAAAAAAACTGAATGTCCCTCACCCACATGGCCCAACCAATAAGGATGGTTGTCACCTGGAAGACAAATATCACAACACTCACTCCTTGCCAATCCCTGTCCCATGAGACAAAACGCTTAGTCATGTATGTAACTTTGCCATTCAAATGATCACTTGACGTCATCATTTATCATTCCAATTTTCAAAAGTAGGTATTTTTAATCAACTTAAAATGTATTCCAAAACACAAAACAGGTCTTTCAACAAAATTACAATTTATTACACAAATCAATAGCATTTTAGAAAGCATTTCTGTTTGAGTATTACAAGACTTTCAACTTATATTTCTATTATGTAATTATAATCAATGGGAATCTAACAAACATATATCAAGTGTAACATGGTCATTTGGGTTATTAAAAGCAGGTACTTTTGAATGAAGCAATGTGACTGTAGAATACATGAAAATATCGAATGATGAAGGTAAGTACACAGAGGTAAAAGCGAGAAGGAACCTCGGATATGCTTTTGTTGAGAGTGTTGAAGAACTTGTCGTAACTTCCAACACCAATCAAAGAAAACCTCAAGTGATGCTCTGAAATTCTTAATTCTGTATAATTTACACCGTATTCAACACGAATTGTTTGTACTTGCGTAGATAGTTGAAATTCCGTGTCACATTGAACCAAAACACTTCGAAGATTTCCGAGATCGCTAAACAATGGCGCAAGGTCACGCCAATTATTACCCATGCAAGACGGATGGATAAAAGATAGAGGATTGATTGTTGGTGGCATCCAAGACCGAATAATAGAAGGAAAAATATTATCTGACAATCTTTCAAATCCACGCAGGGATATATATCCAATGGATTTTGAACTTACAATTGAAAAGGGCACTTGTTTCACTGCTTTATTTTCAGCAATCAGTGTTATCAAGGATTCCATCTGCTCTATATCTTCTTCCAAAATGTCAATCTTCAGACAACCTGATAGGATGAGAGTGTTTAAAGATTTCAACTTATATATCTCTCTCGGTAGATTGCTTAAACTTGTACAGTCCTTCAAATTTATGAGTAGTAGATTGCAGAGATCTCCTATGGATTGGTGTATCTTGCACAAACTTGGACAATCTTTGAGAATGAGCTCTTCAAGACTTGGTAGTCCTGAAAAGTCAGGCGTTTCCATCAAGAAGTGGGAATGACTAAGATCAAGGAATTTTAGTGAGCTCAAAACCTACAAGAAGTTTGTTTTTGACAAAAGATCAGAAAAGAAAATGAAAAATGCAGTAGTTATATCTGGAATCAATTATACTATTTCTATATTAATTAACCTATGAGTTTTAAAAGAGGAGAACATGTAATACCTGGGATTGTTTCCAAACGATTCGAAGATGACTATGTTTTAAATCAAGTGCAATTACATTTTCCATATTAAAGTTGTTTGGTATGTATTTAGAAGGAAACCGTGCCCAACAAATCCATCTCAGTTGTTTAGGAAAGTACTCATAACTCCCAGCAACTTGTACATGATCCAGTTGCAGCAGTCTTAATCTCTCCATTTTCTCGAAAGCATGAACTTCGAAGCGATCTCTGATGGTTAAAGGCAGTTTCAGGGACAATCCCTCCGTAGCTTCTGTCCCCTGTGATGAAAATAGAAAAAGAAAACAATTACGAAATCCCTAAATATCTGTTGATCATTGATACTTAAAGCTGAGCCTAACTAGTTAACAACATATGTATTCAACATGAAAGGAAAACACTTTTGAAAAATGTTTCACAATCATATAAAAATTGTTCTTACAGTATTCTTTGTGAGTACACCTTTTACATCGTCGTGAAACCATAATCGACTCCGGTTCCCAAGATTCACTGGAGACCTTTCACGAATAATTTCTCTTCCCATATCTCGCAACAAAGGGTGCATTTGAAGTTTGTTGTTCTTATCAACTTTTAAGAGACTACTTTCTATCAGAACTGTTATTCCCATATCAGCATGTAGTCCACAGCCATTTAGTATCTCTGTAACATAGCCTCTGTCTTCACCAATAAAGAAGCAACATACATCAAGAAATATATTCTTTTCCATGTCATAGCGTAAACCGTCAAAACTTATTCTCAATTTCTCTTGAACTTGATCATTGGGAATTAGTTTTAGTTTTGACAATACACTTTCCCACTCTTTCTTTGTCCTCTCACTTAAATAAGATCCGAGAACCTCAAGAGCTAGAGGTAGTCCTCCGCTGTAAGAAACTACGTTTCTTTCAAGTTCATTGAAATCTTCTCTTACTTTTCCTTCTCCAAAGGCATGCCACCTTAAAAGCTTAAGGGAATCATTGTCGGTCATATCATCCATTTTATAAACATAATTAACTTTGAGTTGGTTCAATAGGCGAACATTTCTAGTCGTAATGATTATCACAGTTCCTTGACCAAACCATTCACGATTTCCACATATGTCTTCTAATTGACCAAATTCATTCACATCATCAAGAACAATGAGCAACTTTTTTCGAGAAAGCTTATCCTTGATAATACTTTTTCTCTTCTCAGCGTCTTGCTTCATCTCAAACTTGAATTTTAGGACATCATAAAGAAGTTTCTCTTGCAAATTAACATTCGGTTTTTTTCCTTTTCTTATCAAATAATGAGAAACTTTCCTAACATTTGGAATAAAGCATTTACCAATGAATGTACGATAAATTCGATTGTAGGTGGCTTTTGCTAAGAGTGTTTTACCCGATCCTCCCATTCCCCATATGCCTATGATACAGACATTGGTGGATTGATTTTCAATACATCCAATCACCTTCTCCACGTGGGACTCTAATCCAACGGGATATTGAACAGTAGACAAGTATTTGTAGTCCAGTAACGTCTGAATACGGTCAACAATATCCTTCACAAGTTCAGCATCATGCCTTCAAGAACAATGGTGATAAATTACCAAAAATAAATCACAACCTTAACACATGCTTCATATAGTCTCAAATAAAAGAAAGTATGAATGATAATTAACATACCCAAACTTGCTGACATCCCAACCACTGATACCTGCAACTTCGGTGAGTGCCAGTCTCCACCTGGACAAGGCATGTTTCAGTTCTTCTCCTGAATAACTTTTCTGTGCAGCTTCTTCCAACGCTTTTCCGAAATCACCCTTCTGACGAGCGATATCTTGTGGGTCAATCTCGTAAAATACGGGCAGAACTATTTGATCAAAAGTTTTGTAGCATTCAATGATTTTTTCAAGCTCACGAAGACACCAAGTAGACTCAGTGTATGTTTCGGATAAAATAATTACTGCGATCTTAGACCCTGCTATTGTTTGCATGTGTTCTTCCATCTTCATTCCCTTTTGCAGATTATCCTCGCCAACGAAAGTTTTGATTTCAGATTGTAAAAGGGCAGAATGGAGATGAGAAACGAACATTCTACCGATGTCTTCTCCCCCATAATTGATGAACACATCGTATACGAACTGGGGTTCTGATTTTAAGAAGGATGATGATGATGAAGATGAAGAAGAAGAAGCGAGCTCCATCAAAGAAATTGAAGTAAACTCTGCAAAGATGACACAGTGATAGATGATAGTTAACAAAATATTAAGTTAAAAATACCTATAGTTTGAAAACCTATATCCTTACAACTCCTCAACTGCTCTATTTTAATATTATAATAATAATTTTATTTTATTTTTATTTTTATTAAATCAGTCTATAAATTATTATATTAATAAAAATAAATATATTAATAAAAATAAATTATTTAAAGAGTTAATTTCTGATTCTCAACATGTACTACTCTAACATAAACAAGAAGACCATTCTCACCGGCCTAGATAGAAATAACGGAAAAATACAATAATAAGATTCTTAAAATCTTGTTAAGAGTTTATTTCCCCAATGTATACATGGTTGCTAAAAAGTGGGGCTTCCCAACACTCCTCCTAAATGTTATTCCATGATGAGTAATGATGAGTAATGAAGTCATCTTTATATTTGAGATTTTAGACTATTTTTTTAGTACGGAAATATAAATTTCTTAAAATTTTATTTTATTTTTACTTTATTATAAGTTTTCTGTATATATTTGTAAATGGCATATTAAATTATAATTTAATAAATTTAAAATTATTAATTAATTAATTATTAAAAATTAGAATATAAAAGAAAAAAATATTTTATATCATATTAATAAATAATAACAATAATAAAAAAAGATATTTTAAAAATTTTGCATCATTAACTTCAATAATAATAAAAATTATTTTAAATTTTTTTATTATAGATTTATTTGAGTACTTAATTTTTTTTTAAATAAATTAAAATTAAAATATTAAATATAAAATATAAAAATAAAATTATATATAAAATATTAATTTAAAATTAAAATTAAAAAATTTATTTGATAAACACCCGCCAGCCGCACTCTATTTCCCCTCTTTCCCTTTCCCTTTCCCATTCCCACACCCCTTTCTCTTTTCTTTACTTTTTTTTTTTTTTTTTTTTAACCTCCCCTTCCTTCTTGTCCCCCAACCCAACTATTTTTTTCTTATCCTTTTTATTTTCTATCCCTTTAGTCTCCTGATCATCTTTATCTCCCATGTAGTTACTCTCTCAAAAGTTAATGAAAATCACCCGTCATGATCAAATCTAGCAAATCTACCGATTTTGTTTTGTTTAGTTTTATAGAATTTGGTTACCTCCATAGTATTAGGTATTGGCTTAACAATATAAGAAATCATACTTAAAATAAAATAAAATAAAAACAAAACAAAACAAAACTGATAATACCCAATCATAAAATTTTAATATAGAAAAAAATATAATATATTTTTTAAATTTTAATAATATTCTCCGTAACAAATAAAAGAGACATTAATTGAAAAGAAAAGAAAAAAGCTGATATATGAGTGATTTACAAAATAAACTCTCATCTCCTTTTACAAGAAGAGAAGGAAACACAATATAATTTTCTCAATATGGAACTAATTTTGTCATATTCTCTTGTATGAAAAGTTTGATTAAATTAATCAAATCTTCACGATGTTTTATTATTGTCTTCACCATATAAACTTGTTAATACTAATGTGGTTTGTCATAACATCTTATTAATTTCTTCGTGCTTTGTGTTGGAATGCAAAATAGGATTCCTTGTAATATGTACAACATTTTGATTGTCACGATGCACAACACTCTTGTTTGTCCCCAAGTTCCTTAATTTTCCTTTTAATCTAAATAGTTTTCTCGTAGCTTGTGTGACTATCATTTACTCAACTTCTATAGCAGGTGAGCTACAACTTGTTGTAACTTGAATAACTAACTTATTTCTTCTCTTGCAAGTGCAAATATGTAACAAGTTGTTAGTCTAAAAGTTACAAAAAGATCAAAAGAATGAATTGAGCCTAGTTCAAGATTATAATTTGTAATTTTTTATTTTATTTTATTTTATTTTATTTTTTGTGAGATTTCTTTAACTGTTACCAAAAAAAAAACAATATATAAAGGATAAAATAAAGGTAATCAAGATGATTATCAAATTGTATAATTTACATTTTGAAAAACACTCGTGAACTCGGGAACAAGCATTTTCAACGGAGTTCTTTGCAATTTGGATCACCATTTTCATTGATTTTCTCTACCAATTCTTATTTTATCCTTGGTGGATTAAAATTACTTTTATGTTATTTAATTTCCTGTAAATTTAATTTTCAATAATTTACTTTTATATTTCTTTATTATTCTTGCGAGTTATCTTAAATGTTTCAAATTGTATTAAATAAAAAGGTTGAATACAAACCATCTTTAATTGAAATCCACTGTATGTTAAACTTTGAGTGGGATTAAAATAACCCACATAGTGTTTAAGTAATTTAGCGCGTAAATTGTATTGATTTCAACGAACAACGAATTATTTACATTAGAAACAAATTAACACACTTGATGAGACAAATTTCATTACACTAGTATTTGATATTAAGAAGTGGTAGAGTCATAATGACAAATCAGAATTCACAAGTTTCAGTACCAAACTCTACGATAAAACCCAGTGTTAATACTAGCGAAAGTCAAAATATGAGCGCAAGTGAAATGGTTCAGGGCGAAGGAAGTCAAAGTGGTTATGAACCTATTCAGCCAATGCATAATAATGGTAGAGGATCACATATGAATAGTGGGAACACATCAGCCTAGAGGAATAATTAGGGAATTCCAACAGTTGAAAGGTATCCTTGGGGAATGACACCATGGTAGCCAACCCCAAGTTCTAGTAGGATGAATGATCAAAGTGAAGATCACTTGAGATTGAGAAATAATGATAGGGGGAATAATAGAAATTGTCAAGGTGATTCTAATAATGTAAACACTGGAATATCCAATAACATGTTAGGGGTTATAAGACAACAAATGGATGATAGTAATCACGAAATGGTCAATATGTTGTCCCACCAGATGACTGTTATTTTAAATCCATTAGTACAAACAACTGTTAATAGTTTTCAAAGGTTAGCAGAATAAATGGAAAGATACGAGATGCACTTATGATCCCTAGGAGGAATAATAAATGATGATATGTAAGTAGGAAATAATCAACAAAATGAACCCCCTGAAAGACAAAACAATAATAATCGGGACATGCAAGGGAATCATGGTAATTTGCAGAGGGATGTTAGGATGGTTAATAGAGGTCAAGATGCAGATCAAATTCTATATGTTTGGGATTATATGAGAAGGAATCAGATAATGGAAATTATCAACAAAACAATGTTTATAATCAAGTAATTGGGCATTGGAATCAACCGGATGAGGGAATAGGATTATATAATAAACCATATTTCATTTCTCCATTTCTTGTTTTTGTATTAGAAGTTGTGTTGCCTAGAGGCAAAAAGTCCCAAAATTTACAAAATTTTGGGACTGATATTAGGGATTCTACTGTCGAACATATAGCTAGGTATTAAATCGAGTGTGAAAACTTATTAACGAGTGAAAGTTTAATGATGAAATACTTTCCAAGTTCTTTGACAAATAATGTTTTTACTTGGTTCACGATCCTACTTCCGAATTCCATGTTTAATTTGGTACAATTAGAGAAAAATTTTCATGAGCAATTTTTTAGAGGAGAAACCTAAATTAGTTTGATTGATTTGATGAATGTAAAAAGATATCATAATGAAAACATAGACGACTACTTGAATATATTTAGACAAAGGCGATCAATATGTTTTACACAAATCCCTGAAAGAGAGGTAGTGAGAATGGCAGTGACAAGTTTAGAGTTTTCGATAAGGAAAAATTTAGTAAATACACCTTCAAGGGATATGACACAATTAGCAGATAAAGTTCGAAGGATTGACCGGATTAGATATGAAAATGAGAGATATAATAAATTTGGTAAGTTGGTTAAAAGGGATAAAATTGGATATGTTAGAATAGATAAGTTTAAAGAATTATCAGATTTTTTAGAAGAAAATGAGGAAGAAGAGTTAAGTGAAAATGATGAGGAAATAAATGTAGCCAAAATCAAAATTGGTCCTCCTTATGTATGTAAGTTGTTACAAAAAAAGTGAAGTTTCTGATAAAATGGAAAACCAAATTTATAGTTTCAATGTAACAAAGACAGATAATATTTTTTATATTCTATTAAAAGACAAACAAATAAAATTGAATGATGATCATAAATTGTCTTCTTTAAAGCAGAGAAGAGGGCAAAAATATTGCAAGTGTCATAATATATATATGGACATTGGACTGATAATTATATTCATTTCAGGAATACAATGCAGGATGCTATCAAACAAGGTCGATTGAAATTTGAAGAGAAGCTAATGAAGGTGGATACTGATCCTTTTAAGGCTCATGTGGGGTATGTGGAAGTCAAACTTAACACTACTGATGGTGTTGGGAATCTGTTGAGTGACTTGGGAAATCTTATGGTGGACATTACTGCAGAAGACACTACTACAAAATATGCTTTCAACGTCGCCAATTAACGTCGGTTAAAGCTGAGCCGACGTTAAATACACTTTCAACGTCGGTTGGTTAAAAAACGACGTTGAAAGTTGAATGTTGGACACATTCTACGTTGGTTCTTAGTCAATCGACGTAAAAAGCACTTTCCACGTCGGTTCTAGATGAACCGACGTTGAAAGTCTTTTAATTTAGACATTCAACGTCGGTTCCCAGATGAACCGATGTTGAATGTGTTTTCACCCAAAAATTCTCTTAAGTTCAAGAATTGTCACTGACAGGATTTGAACTCAGTATTTTAGAGTTGAAAGTTGATAATCAACCACTAAACTACTGTAATTTTCTCGATAATAACTTACAAATTAATTATATTTATATACAA